ACCCGGAGCATTGCCAATACATGTGATATTGGCTGTTTTTAAATTTTCTTAAAACTCCAGGTTATGTGATCATGCAAGAATCTCAGCTTTCATTTTAAAATACAGTGAAGTTTCTAGCCCTTCTGGTTGCAGGAAAAAGCTGGAAAGCATGAACTCTAATGGCGCAGAAAACAGAAGAGAAATAGAAAGAACCCAACAACTATTACATGATTTTGGGGGCCTGGCCCGTGATTTTTGAACTGGCAACATTGCTACTCCAGAGCCCATCCTTCACCCATGGGACATGTGACCTATCCTTGGTGAAGGTAGATATTTTTCATTCAAGACTTAAAATAAACGTTCGTTTTGTATTTGCAGTATTGTGGGGCTTTCAGCAAATGGCTGCAATGTTATGAAACTCACTGGATTCCAGCAATGCATGTCTATATGCTGTCTGCTGTTCTGAGACTATCTCTGGGAAGAAGAGGAAAACAAGGTTATCATTTATAACGCTGTTGCTGGTTTTGTGGTTGTGAGGCTTTCTGCGAAGTACAAGAATAATTCATTTGTGACATAACGAGTTTGAGGATGGCATCCAGAATATATTATCCTCATGCTTGGATACTTTAAGGAACAATACTAGGTTTTATGTTAAGGTCTGTCTCATGTCCTTTGAGAAACATGTGGTTAGAGCACAGGACTTGGTGTCAGGATACTGGAGTTCTCTTCCTGCATCTGCCACAAACCTGGGGCCAGATCCTGGCCTCCATTCCAGCTACAGTACTTTGTGCCAATTTAACCAGCCAGCTGGGAACTACACATTCATAAGGGTAATCCCAAGGTGGAATAGAGACAGCATAGTGGCTCTGCTTATCCTATTCCCAGCACAAGGGGCATTCGCAGGGAACAGAAGATATGGGCAAAGTATCTCTGCTCTCCGGCTATTTCTGGCAGCTCGATTGGCCACTTGTGCAACTGAGCATAAGTCAGAGCAGACTTCAGCCAACCCCAGAAGCAGGGATCATAAAGCCACTTTTTCTTAGCAGAACCAAAGAATCAGGTCCTTGACGTATAATTTGACAAGTCACAACTTCTGTCATTTAATCACTGCTTTCAGAACGAGCAGGAGTAGGTCCTCCAAGCCTCATTTTCCTCATCTCTGAAACGTGGTAAATAATACTTGCCGAGCTCAAGACTAAATCTCCTAACATTTGTTAAGCACTTTGAAATCTTCAGACAGAAGGTGCAAACTAGCAATATATTAGTTCATACCTGTACCTCTTGCTCACTTTCTAGCCTTCCAATTCCTAATGGTTTAATATAATCTTCCTCCAAGTGTCACAAGGTGTTTTAAAATTAATTCTACTGGCAACTTCTGGAACCAATCACCAGTAACCACCCATACACCACCACAACTCGAAGGCTCAGCATTTTCAGAAGAGTGCCAAGTTGGCATTTGGCTAGCTGAGAAAATGGATTTAGCACATTGCCAGATCCCAGATCTCAATCAGTAAAATACTCTCAAGTAACAAATCAAGGTGACCATTGTTTCATATCATCGAGGAAAAATACTGACAAGAAAAACATTTTGGAAAGTAACTCCCTACATGACTGAGACGAGGTTTAGTTGCTGTAAATGCCAATACTTACATAATGCTAGACTCCAAACAACCATCTGTGATGAACAAGCAGCTAGAAAGACCTAGCCCAGGAATTCAAGTTAATGCTGCCTTGTATTTAATTAAACTTCCTGTCACTTTAAAGCTCTTTTTCACTAGCACAGGAATATGCACTGCTCCAGTGCTGCAGAATTTTCATTCATAATTGGCATCTTGCAAAAACTGAGCTGTACTTTACAATTTAATATTTACATAGTATAAGAATCTGATTATAAAGATTTTCTAGTTCATTTCTAACTGGGCCATTTACCAACTTAAAAAATTAGTGCCAGTTAGACTTTCAGATTGCAAATTCATAAATTACACAAATCATGTTAAATTTCCTCTTCTAAAATAGTCCCCAAACAAGGTAAATAAGGCCCTAATCCTGTTTTCCTCAAAATCATGGGAAAACTCCAGTGGGTGCAATTCTAGGGCATCAGACAAAACCTTTCCCATTAAAGGCAATGGGAAAACTCCCACAGACTTCAAAGGATGAAGAGGCAGGCCCTGAAGTGAATGTGACAATTTTATAGCTTCATCAATATCAAGATTATGCCTTGGGGATTTTGAAATTGGAAGAAGTGGATCACAATAGAAGATGGATCCACTTTTCCTTTCCCCTGGAACAAGGCAGAAAGCATTACAGTACCTTTGGCCAGCTCCACAACAAGCAGAAAGTAAAAGGCTTGTTCTTGCCCTCTGCAAGTTGCAATACTGGCATCAAATGTGACAAACAGACAAAACCTTCAAGTAAAGTGAAAGCTGTCTTAACTGACTACCTGAGGGACCATCTGATTCCTAGTATAGGTTGCCTTAAAGGAAAAAGAAAATTGTCCTTAATCAATGCTTGCAGGTGCTTTAAATAGCTATTGAAGAGATGGTGTTGCTTACTGGAAGTGGGATTCTTAGTACAGGTTTCACTGTAACCCCACAAATGCATTAGAAATAGCAGCGGAAGGATCATCCAATGGGCCAACTGCACAGCATCCAAGTCAGCAGAGGGAAACATGACCAAGTGAAATCAAAACCAGAAAGAAAACTTATTATGGAAAAAATTATTTTCCTCATTCTCTTTTGATCACTGAACAGTGCCGTTGTTTATAATTTCCACAAATCTTTGTCCATAGCTAATATACATCACTATGAAAAATGTTACCAGAATCTGCTGTTTCTTACTACATCTATAGGGGTCACTAATACTAGCTGCAGGTTAACAAATGTTAACTGTTCCTACATGTGAGCTTTTCCCTCTACAAATTACTGAAGTAAAGGGCAGGGTGTACAGGCCATATAAACAATATCATTAGCAAAATCTAAAAATACAGTTCAGCTTGGAATTGAATTAGTACTTGATTACCATCCACATGCAGAGCCAGGAAGCTGAAACTGCATCTACTGACTTGTGTGTTAGCACATTTACTTCCAAGTGCTCTTCAACGAAAGTTGCTACTAAATGATAAAGAATCCTCCAAAACACAGACAGGCCCTGCATGTATCTGAGTGATGAGAGGAATGCTGGCAAATCTGGTTTTGCTGGATTTGTGCTTTTAGCATTTAGAAATACTCCAGCCTTTGATTACATTTTAAATTAAATTTTACATTAAACAGTGGCGCCACTCATACTACAAGTTCTAGGACATCAGATTAAAACTTTGATCAGAATTTGAAATCCTGGAAAAAACACTAATGGGCAATATCTTGTTGATATTTTCAAACAAGTGTAGAGTGAACTTGATGTCAGTGAAAGGTAGGGTGACCAGACGTCCCGATAAAATCGGGACTGTCCCGATATTTAGGCGTTTGTCCCGCGTCCCGACCGATGTTTGGTCAGGACGCAATTTGTCCCGATATTTCGTGGCACTCCGCTTTTTTTTTTTTTTCTCGGCCGGAGACCCCCGTGCCATGTGTCCCAATATTTTCTTTCTCTTATCTGGTCACCCTAGTGAAAGCGGCTAGTTTGATGGCCCTGGAGAAGGAAATCCTGCTCTTGCAAGGTACTGAATACCCTCACCTCATGTTGATGTCAGTCGGAGTTGCAGAAGCTCAGCACTTCTCAGGATTGGACAGTGGTAATATAGACTTCTCCACATTGCCCTACCAAAGACCATCAGTGCTGACAGGGAGAAACCAACTGTGGGCTGTCAAGTTCAAGTTCCCTGGCTCATTCAGTTTTCTCAGGCTGGCAACGAGGGGACAATTCGGGATAAGTATGGTGGGCAACTTCTGTACTGCAGAGCCCTGTCCCTTAGGAACTGGGCAGAGGCTCACCACCTCCTTTCATGTAGATGTCATTAAGCAAGCTGCCAAGTGATAACTTCTTAGAGCCTCCAACCTAGGCTGGGCTTCAACTAGAGATCTAAAGGCAAAGGGCTTTCTATCCCCCTTAGTGTTTTTCCAGAACATTCTAGAAACATGTCAAATAGGAAAGGTTGCCATCTGGCCAGTTTTTAACCTGTTTGGGCAGATTTTGTGGTGCCTGGTTGGTTCCTGATGAAAAGATTTAATATGCTAGGTTTGGTTTTCACTTGGGACCAGCATTCCTTGTAAAAAGCAAACACACGCAGCTGTGCATCAAAATCTTTAACTGCCATATGCATCGCATGGCAGGGGGCAGGGCCAATACCCGGTCCCACTCTACATGCTGGGCCTTCAGCCTGCCGAAACTACAACAGACCCGAGGGTCATGGGGGGCGGATGGACGGCTCCTGGGTAGGATCCCTCAAGGGCTGAGGTGGGTGGGTGGCTTTTCTGTTCTCAAAAGAGAAAAAGCCTTGCAGAGTCCGGAGTAGCTGGAAGCCAGGTAGGGCGACTGAAAACCGACGCAGGTCAGATTGCACAGCTATGGGCGTGCTCCCTCCGAACCAGGCTGCTAAACACTCCCAAGGGAGGGCCACAAGCCAGCAGCCTGGGGGCAAGGCTTCATTTGCAATAAAGCTGGGCAGACTGAGGCGGCATTAATTATGGAGGTGTGGCGTGCTGGGCTTGCCTCTCACATCCACCAGCAACCCCACAGACTGGGCCCCCGGCATACAACAGGCCCAGGGCAGCACCAGGCTCCCCCCTCGTGCTGTAGAACCACCAACGCGCCACAATGCCCAGCATGCAGTGGGACTACAATTCCCAGCATGCAGTGCCCCCTCCCACAAGAGAGCAGGCTTCTCAACGATGACAGTGCCGCATGGAACAAGACAGCGCAGTGCATGGTGGGAGCTAGTTATTTTGGGGCCACTGCGCATGCGTTAAGACCTCCCGCAAAAGGAGGGGCGATGTGCAGCGCGCATGCGCTTGCGCGCGCTGCTGCTGGGGTGGGGAGACGGCGGTGGGACCGTGATTTACGAAGTGACGACAGGACGCTGCGTACGCGGTACGCGTCCCGTGCTGACGCACGGATACGGGCAGGTTGAAGGTTCCCTGCTGCCTGCCCAGGCCCTAGCAACGGGGGCCGCTCGACGCCGCCATGCCCGAGGGCAAGTCCCTCTTCCGGGAGGTGCTGCCCAAGCAAGGTAACGGCCGTGCCGTCTGCGCCCCTTCCCCGCGCAGGGCTCCCTCCGCCCGGCCCGCGGCCCCCCACCGCCTCGTCTCCTCCCTCGCGGAGGTGGGGTCACACCGCCGGCCAGCGAGAGTCAGTCTAGGCGGCGATCTGCCTCTGACCACAGCAGCGAGGGGTCGGGGGCACGTACCCCGACTTCTCGGCGGACTTCGCCCAGTGTTGCCCACGCTAGCTCGATTCCGTTAGCACGGGTGTGCCAGAGCTTCCTCTCTGGGGTGGATGGACACCCCCCATGGTAAGATCTTAGGAGTAGAGACCTGGCCTTGGTTTTCTCTTAAGCACCATGCACCGAGATTTATTTATCAGTGGGTAGTCACAGCAGGGGTTCTCAAACTGGGGATCCATGGTTATTATATGGGGGGTTGCGAACTGTCAGCCTCCCTCCCCCCCCCCCAAAAAAACCCCTGCTTTGCCTCCAGCATTTATAATCGTGTTAAATGTTTTTTAAAAAGGGGTTTTAATTTACAAGGGGGGGGGTTGCTCTCAGAGGAAGAAGTGAGGTTCTTACCCACGAAAGCTTATGCTCCCAATACTTCTGTTAGTCTTAAAGGTGCCACAGGATCCTCTGTTGCTTTGTGTAAAAGGGGTCACCCCTACAAAAGTTTGCGAACCACTGCCTCTTACAGCAAGGAGAACCTCTAGCAAACCAAAAGCCAGCTACTCCCGAACCTTCCTGGTGAAGGGTATGGCTACACTGGCGCTTTACAGCACTGCAACTTTCTCGCGCAGGGGTGTGAAAAAACACCCCCCTGAGCGCAGCAAGTTTCAGTGCTGTAAAGCGCCACTGTAAACAGTCCTAGCGCTGTAAACTAATCTCCTCGCGGAGGTGGAGTACCTGCAGCGCTGGGAGAGCTCTCAAAGCCACAGCCCTAGACAAGACCAATGAAGTGTGTGGACACATATTCTCAATTAAAGCAGGAATCCTGTTTTTACTTTGATCACTCTTCCCCTTACCGGTCAGGGCATTTGAAAGCACAAATGTTCGTGTTTACAAACTATTGTAAGCCCTGACAGAAAACAGTAGAAAGGAAGCTCACATTATGATTACCGTTTTACTTACCTTCCCCATATCCCACCCCCATCTTAATCATAAAATGGTTTTCACAACTTCATTCTAATTGTTAGTTCTAGCAGTATAGTTTGAACGTTGGGATTGCAGGGCTGCTTTCAGACAGTAAAGCACTGAATTCTAGTAGCTGTGCTGGTAAAAATGTAGGCGCTGAAAGGCAGGAAAGCTGTCACATGAGGAAATAAGGCATTATATTACATAAGCAATCGGCTTGGCTACCATTGGAAAGCTGAGACTCCTAGTCATTAACTTGATTTTTAGGAGATAAATAGAAGGAGCAATGATAGTCTAGATGTCTGTATTTTTTGCACAGATCTGAATATATAAAAGTCCCAACCCTCAGCCATGTGACTTTCCAGTTCCTGAAAAAATATCTTTTTTCCTGTGGTTCAAAATCAGACTATAGGTCCACTTCTGAAAAACAAGCTGGTTTCTTTATCAGTTGAGGATAATGACTTATGCTTTTGCAAACCTTTTCCCCAAAAGAACAGTATATTCTTTCTGAAAACAAATGCTATCTTGTCCAAAATTAAGTATTATCTTGTATATACACACTAGGTTTTCCAGTGACACTTGGTGCTCTTATTTGAGATGTATTTATACTTGGTTGTAAAATTATGCCAATTATATGAAATTTACATATTCTTATTTTTCCTTCTACACTTCAGGGCAGTTGTCAGTGGAGGATGTGGCTACCATGGTGTTATGTAAGCCAAAACTGTTGCCTTTAAAATCTGTTACCCTAGAAAAGCTAGAGAAAATGCAGCGAGCCGCACAGGAGACAATTCGCCAGCAAGAAGTGGCACAGAGGGAGCAACAGCAACAAAGCCAACAATAGGGTGCATGATGGTTCACCCCCTCTAAGAAATATTTCACCTAAATATTGTACCTTAGTTTGTGTATATTAATCTAGTGATGTTTGCTGTACAGGAATGGTAAAAGTCCATACTAAACTTTCTTAGCTCATGTCTTCTTCTGTTATACATATTATAAATGGCTGTAGATTTTGCTTAAGATGAGTCTTTTGTTAGTATGCTTACTACTATCTTCTGTGTAGTTGCGGCTTTCAGCTTCTCTCAGCTTGATTTCTTTTTTAAAAAGCTCCATAATTGTGCTGGCTTGAAAGAAAGAAAGCCCCATGAAGTCTCAACGTATTTAATTTTTTTTTTGGTAACCTATTCACTTTAGAGTAACTCCTCACTTATGTTGTAGTTACGTTCCTGAAAAATGCAACTTTAAGTGAAACGATGTTAAACAAATCCAGTTTTCCCATAAGATTTAATGTAAATGCAAGGGGTTAGGTTCCAAGGAAATTTTTGGGGGGCAGACAAAAGGCATTATATACTGTACAGTACTGTGCTGTGGTTGGGAAGTGCCCCTGGCTTACCCCATACAGGCACAGCCCACTGCAGGCAAGGGGGCTAGGAAGCACCTTCACAGCAGCAGCTTCCCTGGAGAAGAACAGGTGCTGACTTTGCCGGGGGATGCTCTAGGCCCACCTCTTCCCACCCCCACTGCACTCCTCTCTGGAGCAGCTGCATCCCTGCTCCTCCCTCCCTCTCCCCCCACCAAGTCCTAAGTGCTGCCAAACAGCTGTTTTGTGGTGGGGGAAGCACTGGGAGGGAGGGGGAGAAGAGGAACTTGTGCAATGCTCCCTTATAAAGTCGCTGCTCTTCCACAGAATCTTACAAGCAGTGGACAGAGCAGGCAGCCAAACGACGTTATAAGGGAGCATCGCACAACTTTAAACGAGCATGTTCCCTAATTAAGCAGCGACGTAACTTTGAAACAACGTTAAGTGGGAGGACGTTAAGTGAGGAGTTACTGTACTTTATTCATTACTTGAGGCTGCAGATGTATAGTTAACACTTCTGAAATGTTACAAATCTTGCCTGGCCATTCTGGTCTACTATTATGTTAGAGCACAGCTCTGCTAGAGGTTAAGCAGTGTTTACTGTTTAAAGCACTACATAAGTGCTCTACAATCCACATGCTTACTGGAATAGTCTTGAAATTTATTGTGCCTGAGTATTGGATAAGGTTGATGGTCCAGAGTGGGGGATCATTTGAGATGATTGGGGATCAAACCCCCCAACTGCTCTTATCCTTTCAGGATTTATTTTCGCTAATTCATTGCCCCCTTTTAGTGGGTAAAATTTGCTCCTACACCATGGGTTGATACAAATTGATGACCAAAGAGTGAAATGTGCATGTGCAGTAAGTCTGCTGCAAACGAAAGTTTGTAGGCAATCTGCCACAGTAAGTGGGTGGCACAAGCTGACATGCTGCAACTGTTGAACGGAGTTCAAGCTCTAGCCACAGCAGTTTTCTGAGAATGTGTTGTGCAGATGTTGCTTTGCCTTCAGTGGGCAGGAGGGACCTTTCACAACTTTTGCCCTAAAACCACAATTTCTAATTTTACTTTAGATTTACTTCTAATTTGTCAAAGATCTTAGTCTGTCATCTTCCCCCTATTAAATTAATACTAACAAACAGCTAGGGTAATGTAATCATGCTTCATACTCGAACCTCTTTCTGAACAATGGGATTAAGGTGCTGGGTCATTTGGTCAAATGGCTAACTGACGTATAGGGCCCTACAAAGTTCATGGGCCAATATTGTCAATTTCACAGCCATAGGATTTGAAAATTGATAAATTTCACATTTTCAGATGGTTAAATCTGAAATTTCATGGTGGTGTAACTGTGGGGTTCCTGACCCAAAAGGGGATTTTTCCGGGGGAGGGAGGTTTGCAAACTTGTTGTAGTAGGGGCATGGGATTGCCAGCCTCACTTCTGTGCTGCCTTCAGCACTTTACAGTGTGGGGAGAAGGGGTGCAGAGCTATCTGCAGCAGTGAGAGATTCCCTGCAGGGCTGCTTTGGGGTAAGAGCAAGTCTTGGCCGGCCCCAGCCCTGCCCAGCAGCTAGGAGCCCCCTTTGCTGGGGCACTCCCAGCAGCACAGGGAAGATTGGCACCAACTCCACAAGCCTCCTCCAGCTACAGGAACCCCTGGGGCTGCTGCCCACTCGCAGAGGTGGGCCTTGTCTCCTCCCACCCCCTAGAGCAGCCTTAGGGCTGTGCTCTCATACAGCTACTGCATGCAGGGCCAGCCACCTCCCTCAACAATCTTTACTAGTGTTAGGGCTCATCCAAGCACTAGTGTTTTTAAAGCCCAGTTTGATGATTATGGTTTTGAAGAGGGTTTCCATAAAAAGTTTTATTATAATCCCTCAACAACAAATCAGAGCTGCTCAAAAGAAATTTGCTCTCAGGTAGCTCAATCACTGACAAAGCAGAAGCAAGGAGAATTAGACACCTTCCTCTTCTCAGATGCACTTGAAGAGGAAGGGAACTGGAGCCATCTATGTATACCCCAACCCCATACAAACATTCTGTCTTGCCCAACAATTCCTCAGCCCACAGGGTCTCCTTTCCCTCTACTGCTTCCTGATCTGGGGAAGGAACCCAGTACTCCCCCTCCAGATTCACCTGTCCACTCAGTACTGTTCCTGGAGAAAAAAGGGCATCACAGCAGCACAAGAGTGTGGGGAGGACAGGAATGGGTCAAGACCAGTGCAGAGGGGGATAGAGGGCACTTCAGGTCTCACCCCCAAATATCCAACATCCATGCCACTTATTTGTACCCCCCCTTTAAACCATGTCCCCCACCTGCATCCTCTCCCTAGCTCAAGCAGTGTAGTCCTTGCTTGTGCCCATCCCCATTCAAATAGAAAGATGAGACTAGAACAGTTGATACAAGGCCAGGGAATAGACCAACAAGCAGCCAAGGCGTTCTGTGAGTGGCAAAGGAGCCAGGGGTAGAACTTGTTAGTGGAACATGAGGATGCTGAAAAGTTATTTAAAAAAAAAAGGGGGGGGGGAATTAACTACCCTTACAGATACTATAAAACACACACTGTACAACAAAGTAACACCTTCACTTTTCAGAAGCAATATTTGGCTTTAGGTCAAGTGTAGCAAAGAGGAGCTACCTCCACCTGGGCTACACAAGCCACCTCAGATTTGCAAAATGTTACCACCCCTTCAGCTTTGTCTTATAAGTATTCCTTTTTGAGACGTTGCCTTTGCTTACCCCTCACTAAGCCCTCAAGACCAGTCACGTATAGCACCAGGCTGCTGACAGTCCTTATGCAGTGCTCCTGGCAGCCTACAGAACTCAATGTTGCAACGGGGCATACTACCTCAAGCTATACATGTACCTCTCCTCATATCACAGTGACAGCTTTTGCCAGCCTGCTCCACTTAATCCTGCCATCATTCAATTCAGCTGCACCTAAACAGAGTGAATGCAGATAAACACTGCAATTCAAGTCAGTGGAATGTAACACAAACCATGGCCTAGTCTCTTATTCATTCTTCATGTCAACTTATTGTGGCACCATCCTTCCTGACCTATTCCAGTGGCTACTAGCTCCAGGGGGCAGAGTTAAGGTTGTGTTGTAAGGGAGGTGTGCACCTTTACACTGTTTCCTGATTGCCAGAGTTCTAAATATAGCTGAAATCAACATTCTGGAAGTATATAAGGCACCACTGGGCAACCATATTCTATATTAACGGATTTGGTGGTGGAGGAGCCATGTTGGTCCCAGAATATTAGCAAGGCAAGGTGGGTGAGGTAATATAGTTTATTAAACAACTTCTGTTGGTCAGAGAGAAGCTTTCGAGCTACACAGAGCTCTTCCTCAGGTCTGGAAAGGTACTCAGGGCATCATAGCTAAATACAAGGTGGAACTGATAGTTTAGCATAAGCAGTTGGCACATATTCTAAGGGACCATTCCAGGTGAAGTGGCCTGTTAACATCTCTGTAATCATAGGACAAAAAGTGGAGTTAGTAGGTTAAAGATTGTTGTAATAAGCCATAAATCCAGGGTCTTTGTTAAAACCAGGATTTTTAGTGGTTATCAAAATTATGAATTTAGGTTCTCAGGCTCGTCTTTTGAAAGTGTTGACATTCTGGCACCATGGGTTGATACTCTGCACTAAATAAAAATAAAAATGCCCCCAAACTTTTATTTATTTATTTATTTATTAAAGACAATTAACCTTCTCAGCATCCCCATGTTCCACCTTTCAAGATCCCTGGGTCCTACGCATGCCTATCACATGTGGTGTACCTCATCCAATGCACTAAATGCCCAATAATGACTATGTGGGTGAAACCAGACAATTACTGTAATCTTGAATGCTTACTTCACCCACCCAGTCTCTCTAACAGGTTTGGAGTAGTTAATACCAATACAGCTACTCGTTCCATTACTCTTATAAAGGAACAGGTGTATACATCAATACAGGGGCCCTGGATAATGTTTACTAGAACTGCAGGCTGCTGCTTTACTTATTACAAAATGGCACACAATATCAGTTCTAGGATAAAACAGTGTGTGCTTCATATCGAAGAGTACCTTCTGATTTGGAACACTTGCCCATTAATGGTCACACAGACACCAGAATTTGTAATTATCAGCCTTGTTATATTTAGGATCAAGCGCTGTGTATGGGCAGTCACCTTTGTTTTCTACACGTAGACAATAGCATATACTGTTAATACCATCTAAATGTTTGAGCTTCCATTATACCCCTGTGAATCCATATTAGTATCTAATGCCAAGGGTTTGTTTGTTTGTTTGTTGGGTTTTTGTTTTTTTAAGATAAACCTTTTCTAAAGCAATTTTAAAAGAAGCGGTGAAAGAGTAAATATAAATCTGGAGAGGCTACTATCTTCAAAAGCCTGAATAAATAGGATGTCAGGAGCTTAAACAAGTTAATTTTGGAAACGCAAACATTATAACTAAGGTAATTGCTTTCATGGTAGCAAGTATGTACTGAAATTTTGTGGTTTAAAAAAACAAACACACAATTGCACAGTTAACACTGAGGAAAAGATGTGATTGCATAAATTGTACCCATTTTCAGGGAAGTCTTTGATAAAATGTCCCTTTCCGTTTAAGTATTCATTAATCCTCTGCAAAATGCTATGCAAAAGGGTACTTG